TCAAAGAACAACTAGGTCTAACTTAATATATGGCTACACTGTGTCTGGTTATAAATTGTAATAAAATATGGGAAATCCCTTACTGGGTTAGTCAGAGTGAATGGCTTTGAATTTCTGGATAATAAATGCTCATTTGCATTTCTTTGTCGCACACAAAATATTTCCTGTTAATATGTTCTGAGAAGCAGATCACACATGGCATAATGCTTTTAGTCCAAAAGGTTACATAGGAAGCATTTTACCTGTGACAGACGATGCTTGGATCGGGCATTGATAACAAAGGCAGTGGCATGTGTTGTCAGATCCTACAATACAAAATGTAGTAACTTGACATTTGCAGGTATAACATTACTCAATGTGACAGAAATATATAATCTTTAAATGTATGCACATCTGATGATAAAAAACTGGTGACATGTGGTGAGCAAAGATAGATAATTTAATATTTTGTAACTCTGACCAAAACATATCAAACATTAGTACTCCAACAAGACAATAAGCCATTCTAACTCTTTATGTGTTCATTTAGTTTTGCTAGTACAGCACATAGAAATACATCTTCACATATACCTCTAGGTTTTATGAATCATTTGGTGAATTTAAATGAAATATTTCAACTAAATATTGATATATAAATTATATGCTAGGCCAATATTAGCCACTACTATATCGGCCTGACCTTTATTTAGCAGCCCTTAATTTTCAGTAGATAGTCAACAACAAAGAAAACATACTTGGTGCACTGTGACAGCTCCATCTTGGTCGATGCCCATTTGCTCTTCAACTGAGTCAGGTGTGTGAAGGTTCTGATCCTCGCTGCTGGAGTCGGCTGGAAGCTGATCGGGTTGAATGTTGTCCTGTGTACAACATATCAAAGAAACAAGATTGTTTGAAATTGTAAAAATTAAAAAATTAGCTTCACTAAAAGAGCAATTTTAAATATGTAATTCCTTTTCTATCTAAGATTATTTTCACATTAAACAAACTTTGGGGGTAAGAGTTATTCAGCAACAGTTATTAACTGTAAGCCGTAGCACTTTATCCATTGTCTGGGTAACACTCTTTATTACATTTTTTCAGTCCAGAAAACAAAACCATGAAACTTTTTTTTTCTAATCAAATCTGAAAATCTATTTATTTTTTGTTTTAAGTTTAATAGTGGGTAAAGAATTTGAGATTTATTTCTGATTTGCTAAAACTGTGAATTCAACAAATCATGTGCAGATTCCTGACAGGGATGCATGCACCTTGCAGAATATTGCAGAGTGAAAAAGTGGAAAACCATAATTTTTGTGATTTACTGTTTTAGTAACTGTGGCCGAACACCAACGTAATGCATATTTTAACGGTTTTTTTCATCCCCACAAAAACACTACATAGCTAACTGCTGAATTAAAAATATATGGTTGACAGATGCCGCCTGCTTGTAGCCTAGCAGATTCATTAGTTAATGCTAATGGATTTATAATAACTAAATGTGGCTGATCAGTATTGGCTAACGCTATCTGTAGCATCACAAAATGTACGAAACTAACCCTGTATCCGAGTGGCCACGTGGCCCAAACACTGTAGCTAACAATCTTAGCTGAATTAGCAGACGTTACTTACTTTTTGCTGCGGTCCTTGGGTTTCCTCCTGTCGGTTTTCATATCCACGTGTGGCGTCGCCAGGTCTGGTGTCTTCAAGAAGATGTTGAAAGTGTCTTCTCTTTACATGATGGTAGAATGAGTTGTACACTCTATATTCCTCAGTGCATCCATCAATGCCACAGAGCAACCTGAAGTCAGAGCCTGCGACTGTGCAGTCGATTAATATGGCTCAATAATAATTTCAGTGAAAAAGTTATAAAAACGCAGCAGATAACGCACCGCCAAAGCATCGTGAAATCTTCCAAAAGTTAACTATATTAAAACGTTTCTGCAGCAGGCCATGTACACGTTGGGGAAAATAACTAATGAAGTGGGTTTATCACATTCTCTAGCTGTATGGGGGAGGCCGGTGAGTCGTCTTCCTATATATATATATATACACGTCATAATAATGCCTGGGAATAACTTGTGGAATGATGTGCATCTAGAAACAGATGTTTGAAATGTTACCTATGACCGCATCAGTTATTAATATTCCTAATATTTGCAACATATAAAATATCTCTGTCACCCCTCTTTAAGAAATGGTACCTTCCAATGGGAACCGCGAAGAGGGTCCGTTAAGGGCGTGTGTTAGGTCAGGTGCACCTAGCTTCAGGACGTTGCTGGCTAGCTTTCCTTCAGGCAGAAGACTGAACCTCTGCAAGTGATTGAACATTAAAACTACGCCATGGATGAAAATGGAAGAGATATCACATGCTTGGATCCTATAGCAACTGCAGCATTAAAAGGTAATGTAATTTTGTATTTTATACTGCACCTCTCCAGCAAGCTTTACATTATTTGAATCGGTTGGACTTAGCTAGGCTGGCTACATATCTAGTTAACTTAGCTAATATCTACTGTAAGCTGTTAATAACTGCACAATCGACAAATCGTGGTTAACATTTTAGTTGATACTGTTTTATTGCCAGAAATAATGTCAAGAAGCAAATGAGCCTTCCACAACTGACAGTAAAGTATTTAGCATAGCCATCTTTGGCGCCCTTCTTTGTTGTACACTAGCATAGCCATCTTTGGCGCCCTTCTTTGTTGTACACTAGCATAGCCATCTTTAGCGCCCTTTGTTGTACACTAGCATAGCCATCTTTGGCGCCCTTCTTGTTGTACACTAGCATAGCCATCTTTAGCGCCCTTTGTTGTACACTAGCATAGCCATCTTTGGCGCCCTTCTTTGTTGTACACTAGCATAGCCATCTTTGGCGCCCTTCTTTGTTGTACACTAGCATAGCCATCTTTGGCGCCCTTCTTTGTTGTACACTAGCATAGCCATCTTTGGCGCCCTTCTTTGTTGTACACTAGCATAGCCATCTTTGGCGCCCTTCTTTGTTGTAGACAGCATTTACAAATGCGTTGTTGTATGATAGTGCAGTGCAGGCTATTGAAACTACACTGTCCTTTGGATATAAGCAGGCTTGGGACGTAAATTATGCTTATTTGAATAAAGATTTCAAGGTAAAGACACTGTTTTGAAAATAAGTTTAACTGTGTTTGCTCTTAAACATCAAGATTTGTTTTATTGTACTATAAAAGATGCTGAAAATGTATAACTTTTATAGCCTATGAGATTTTACACATTTGTGTTATGGATTTATCCTAACAACATGCCTCGTTTATTCATTTCCCTGGTGCATTTTCATTTTCATTTGGCCAAAATAACTTTAACTCTGGATGAACCTATTGTAACAGCAATTTTTTCAATCAATTATAAGTAAGTGCAATACATTTTTTTAATGTTAAAGAAAATCTTGTGAAGCCAGCCAGAAATGTACATTACTCTTTCATTTTATGTATTTAGATAAATATGTTATTAGTTGCTTTTTACCTTATTATTAACTGTGTGGTTAATGTGTTTTCAGCTGCTAATATAAGCAGAGACATGCTGCCCAGCCTCTCTAAGGAGGACTTGCGTGATCTCCTTCCCGGGCCTGAGCACTTCAGAAGAAGAAGAACCATTTGGAGACTCAATCATGATGAAAATGAGGTAATTCCAGATTCTAACATTTGAGGGACTTTAAACCGGTTACCAAGTAAGCCTTTCCTAGTCATCATGCAGTTATTTGAAGTGGAGTTTTTTTGGTTGTGTTGATTTTTTGTTGTTGTCACAGCGTAGTGCTCTTTTCATTGTAAATACCATTTTATATATATATATGCATCTTTTATACAGGGCCAGGAGACAGACCTGTGTAGACCAAGTACCTCCCATGGGACTTGTGATTTCAGCCCTATTCCTACCCCCCAACCTTCCTTGTTTCCCTCCTCTTCCTCCTCCTGCCCCAACCCCTCTCCATCCCCCGTCTTTTTCTCCACCCTCCTTCTCCTCTCAAAGCCCACAACCCCCAACATGGTGCCAGCAGAACCGTACAGCTTCCCAGTCCACTGTATGTTTTATACACAGACACAGAATTGGAGCAATCACGAAGCACCTTTTCTGAAAAGCAGCGTGCTGGAGAAGAAGGAGACTACGTCCTTTCCAAAGATCTTCGCTGTCGATTAATCAGGAATACAGTCACAAGCATGCTTTCCATTAAAAGAGCAGCTGGGGATGACTTTAACTATCCATGCAGCCGTGAACTCACTGTAATGGCGAAGCGTCTGATTGAGTACTACCCAATGCTTCGGGACAGATCTCAAACCAGTAGAGATGAGTGGGTATGTCACTATTCAAGTTTTCAACTCATGGTTCAGACAAAGCACTGCAATCATTTGCCTATCAAACTGGGAGTGATGTGTTTTATCCAGTTCAATAAGAGCTCTGTGCAACTGCTTGTATGGTGTATTTTGTTTGATACAAGTTTGTTTTATGTGAGTTATAACAGAACCTGTTGTGTGTCTGTCTTGTAAGGAAACTGAAAAAGCAGCTTTTGAAAAGGGTCCAGAATGTGACAACCCCCAAAAAGAAGCAGGGTTCAACTCCTTCAAGAAAGAGGCCTAGGAGTTTAAGCTTTCAGAGCAGCCATGAGACGTACACTGATGAGACTGATGAATCCACCGCATCAACCTTGATCTTGGAGAGATCACCACCATCTCGATGCAGCACCCCGGAGGCTGAACAGTTATGTGGTAAGTACATAAATTGAAATAGTAGATAGTTAAATCTCTTCAAGAAAATTTTATAATATCAATAAGTTATTTTAGAACCCTTTTTTATTCAAGATTACTCATCTATGTTTGCCCTGTGTCAGTCACTATGGCTGTTTGTGTGTTAATGTCTCATTTCAACTTTAACATCAGAAATGAAAATAGTGGGGTTTATGTTTTCTAGCATCAGAAACTGAGAGCCCACAGACCCAGGCGAGACACTATAAGACTCTACAGGCGATGTATAAAACTAAGGCCAGATCCCGAACAAGATGGATGTTGCTCAGCTCCTGGACCTCGAAATCCAAGCGAGAAGGGCCTTCATTGACTCTGATGTTACAAAGGAGCAGGACAGGCCTTCCAAGATTCTTAAAGCTTATCCTTGCTTTGGAGAACTGGATCATGTAAGCAAATGTTGTACAACTATGCTTCCTAATTCAGATAACGTTAGACCCAAATTTTGAAATGAGAAATGGTGTGACAATTAAATCAGATCTGTCTCATTATTTATAAATGAATGACTCAAATATGCTTATTGAATACAAATATGTATTCTGCATAGATATATAAAACCCTCCACTTATTTAAAAATAACTAATTTCACAAATGTGCTTCTGATACACACAACATTATTTTGTTAGTATTATTGGTCCACAATACGTATTTAAAAATAGTGTGTGCATAAGACATACATTTGCAAAAAAACACATGTTTCTATGTGCATATTTTTGTTAAGTGACCATTTAAATCACATTATACACATATTAATCTTTTTTTGGAAATTCAGTTATCAGACAAATTACTAACCCTTGGAATGTAGATTTTAATATTTCTTCTACATATTTTCTCTCTCGTTGTTTTAGCTAATGGATGAACTACGGCGGGTCCTCAATCAAGGCAACTCCCACTTCTTAACGGAACTTAAGACCCGGTGGGGGACCTTTTGTGAGAGGGCACAGTTTTATGGAGTTTTCAAAAAGCTCATGAGGCCTCCGCAGCTTGACAAAGGTGATTATTATCTCTGACCATGTCTGTTTATTAACTGACTGCAGGAAACGGAATGACACTTTTTTTTTCAACAGTAAAGCACTCAATTGCCATGATGAAGGCTTTACCAGAGATGTTCCCATCACCTATGGCCCCACCCAAGAAGTTAAGGCACGCAAGTGAAGCTCTGCTCCACGTCCTTGAGGTAAGAAAATGTATAAGAATTTTCTCATGTCGATACAAAGAGTGAAATGTTGTGATCATATTTGTTTCCCTTTTTGTGACGATTTCTTTGTCTGTTTTTGTGTCAGTCTGCAGAAGACCCAAACACCTTTCTTCAGACACGACCACTTTCCAGCCCTGTTGTCATCATCTGCGAAACCAACTGTATACTGGCCATTGGAACCATGCCCGTGCTCATCTTCCCAAAAGAGGACATTCATGAAAGCGTGATGTATCTCATGGCATGTTATTACACCTTTCACCTCACCTATCCTAAGTGCATTGCAACACTCCTGTCTGTGGTGCAGACAGAAGTCCTCTTGGACGCCATTCACGACCATGACATGACTACTTCATACAAAAGGCTATGGCCCGACTGGAAAAAGTTCATAAGTGATTAGGGCACTTATATATGAGGGGCCGCTAGGGACAATATTCAGAAATACCGTTCACTTACACATGTGAAACACTCTCACACACACAACTGAAACCAAAATAATTTACAAACATATGTAAAAATCTCTCATATACACATATGAAACGCTCTCACACACATGAAATCCAAAGTTATTCACATATGAAACGCACTCACACACGTGAAACGTACTCACACACACACCTGAAACGCACTCGCATACACCTGAAACGCCCTCACACACACACACATGTGAAACGCTCTTACACACACATGAAACGCACTCATATACACATTAAATGCGATTTCAATATGTTGTGTGAGAGGGATTTCAGTTGAAACGGAAGGCATCTCGCCTTTTAGAAATGTGCGCTTCTTCGCAGTTTTTTTTTTTTAAACGACTTCCTTTTCAACCGAGATGCCTTCAGATTCAACTGAAATCCCTCTCACACAACATACTGAAATTGCATTTCATGTGTGTGAGAGCGTTTCGTGTGTGAGAGAGTTTCAGGTGTGAGTGCATTTCATGTGTGTGTGAGAGCGTTTCAGGTGTGAGTGCGTGCGTTTCACATGTGTGTGTGAATAACTTTGGATTTCATGTGTGTGAGAGCGTTTCATATGTGTATATGAGAGATTTTTAGATATGTTTGTAAATTATTTTGGTTTCAGTTGTGTGTGTGAGAGTGTTTCACATGTGTAAGTAAACGGTATTTCTGAATAATGTCCCTAGCGGCCCCTCATACTTATAGTCCTATTGAAAATTGTTCGCTGAGTCAAAAGTGTCATGAGATTTCACTTGTGTTGTATTTTACAGTGAAAGAATGTTCTCTTTTTTTCTAAAGACATATCTGATGACTGACCTTTACTACGCAGTTTGAAAACAATAAAAACATTAAAAAAAATCATTTGAGACTCATTTTTCTTTAAGCAAGCAGTCAAAGTTTATATCTTGATAGGATTAAAGATTTTTTGAAGGTTTTGTCTCTACGTTTCTTGGTATTAGCCTTATTTTAAGAATAGCACCGAATGCTGAATTTAAGTAGATTTTTCTACATATTAAGAAAATAATTCTTAAATCTTATCTTGTATCTAGACAAATATACCTGTTTAAAGTGAAGCTGCACTGGATTTAAGAAATGTGCCTAACATAAAATAGAATTTTTGGGACAATAGCAGTAGAATATGCTGAATTCAAGCACATTTTCCTTATAATAAGATTATATTCCTTCCTTGCATCAATTCAAATGTACTTATTTTTGGTTTAAAAACACTCGTTTTAAGATATATGTAGATATTTTTAGGCTAGATATATTTACTTGTTTTAAGAAGGTCTTGGCAAGTGAATTTTTCTTGTTCTGTTGGCAGATAATTTTTCTTATATTAAGTAATATATTACTCATTTTATTATTTATTTTACTTGTTTTTTTAGGCTTAGTTTTTGCAGTGTGCATACCGCTATTTTACTGTCTTTTTCGGACACCTTCAAATACTGCCAGACCGGTGAAGCCATGTTGGCGAGCTTGTTTTGCCGCGCACCGAGAAAAGTGTCATGTATTTTACGTCATGCGATCGGCTCTCGCGATCAGCCTTTATAGAGAGCACCGATCGATCGGTAGAGAGTGAGTATCGGCCGATCTCGATCGGTGACCGATCCATCGGAGCATCCCTAGTATTAAGTATAATTTATTAAATAAAAATACTGTTATGAACACTATACAATGTCTTTATTTTGATAGTTACCAGAATACATTGTATATTTAATACTAACATAAGCTGGTGATAGATAAATATTTATAAAGAAAGAAACAGAAGGGAGGAAATGATGATAGCTCGACTCAGAATGAATCACACAGCATTGAATGGTACGCTGCATGTCATGGGGAAAGTGACAGTGAGTGCAGGAACTGTGGAGTTAAAGAAAATGTGGGACATCTATAAAGCTGAAAGAGAAAAACTAAAGGATAACGTTTTAGAGGCAGAGAGGAAATGGAGTGTGGTTGGTATTTTGGGAACAAAAGGAGAGGGAGAAAGAGCTACCAGAAAGGCACCGTTTACCTTTAGTGAAACTGGGGTAGGTACAATTATCTAACATTAGGTCAGGAAAGATCATAGATTTCTGTTTTATTTATTTATTTTTGGATTAGATCATAGATACATTCATGAGTTAAGAGATGGAATGATATGATGATTCACACATGTACAGTAGGTGGCGGTATGCACCTTAAAGTTGTTTGCAATCCGCCAAAAACTGAGAGAAGAAGAAGTCAACTGGTTTGCCAACGGACAATTTACACCGAAGAAGAAGAAGCGAACATTTCTGGCGGATGAAATTTAGAGTATCAGATTACATGTGATGTCTGACTCTGAGAAAAACATCTCCGAATTATTGAGAGAGGCAGCCAACCGCCTCGATGGGATGGTGATGCGACAGCCACCGGCTAACGTTAGAGCTGCCGAAGTGGGCACCCCAAGCCCAAGCACCCCTGTCCAACTCGATGGGATGGTGATGCGACAGCCACCGGCTAACGTATCAACATAAACGTGTTGGCTAACGTTGACGAACATCCACCATCTAACATATATACTCCATTTCAACCATCTCTTCGTATCATATTGCTACACAATACTAAATAATTGTTTGTCAATGTTTTAATTTTGTTAACATTAACTGTGTTATACACGTTTTTGCCCACCAGTCTCGTCCATAGAAATACAATAGGAGTAGAACGGACATTCCCATTCAAATCAACGTAGCAGGATAATGGATGTATTATATTTTAAGATAATGCAGAGCGGCGGCCATTTGTATGTGTACCGTTGCCATAGCGACAGTTGTAGCGGGCTGACCATATAAATAGAATATGAGTATAGTAGTATACTCGTATTCTATTTCTATGGGCTCGTTATTTGTATGACGTTAGCTCGATAGAGCAATAATTTGTATATATATGTATTTATTTAATCATTTATGTATTTATTTATTTAATTTTGGCTTAAATGGCATTCCATACAAAACACAATAGTAAGAAAGGAACAAGGTGGGATTAAAAACCAATGAGCCCAGGTCTCTAGAGATCCTCAGGACGTATTTATTGGATCAAATCGTTTTCTCTGCGGCTGGTTCTCCGGAATCCACGTGACATTAAATACATTAAAAATATGATCAATTATAAATATGTATATTAATAAAAAAGGCAGGAAAGGTGTGGGTGTGTGTGTGTGTGCGTGTGTGTGAACTCAGGTTTATTCTCCAGAGTGAAAATTAATCAGAATTCATTCGTCCTGAAACGGAATTGACTTCAAGCTGATGAGCGCCGTCACTCAGTGTCTTTGAGACGAAGAGAAACCCAACCTTCCACATCTCCCTGCAGTCTTTCTGCACCACCTGGTGGTCGTGTTGTGTCTCTGTGTAGTCATTTCGTTTGTTAATGTGTTTCAAAGAGATATGAGCTCTTTACAATTCATTCAAACTGCTGATTTATTACAAGATGTTTTATCTCAAACATTGTTTATTGCAAATAACAACAGAATGTTTAAAGAGTTGTCCTCTCCTCTTCCTGTGGTGTGTTCTATGGGTTTTAGTGCATGTTAATGGTCTGCAAAGGCTAACATCCCTGTGTTCCTCCAGAGGGAGTTTGATAATGAACCTCTGAATGCTTCAGAGGATGCTTGGGAGGAGGTGACGTGGTCAGATGAGACCAACATCCAGATCTTTGGCATCAACTTGACACGCCGTGTTTGGAGGAAGAGGTGCTGACTATAACCCCAGAGCACCATCCGTCAGGCATGGACGGGGACATCATGATCTGGGCTGTGTCTCTGCTCGGGACAGGAGGACTCGCTGCATCGAGGAGAGGATGGACGGGACATCATGCTCTGGGCTGTGTCTCTGCTCAGGGGATAGGAGGACTCGCTGCATCGAGGAAGAGGATGGACGGACATCATGCTCTGGGCTTGTGTCTCTTGCTCAGGGGACAGGAGGACTCGCTGCATCGAGGAGAGGATGGACGGGACATCATGCTCTGGGCGTGTCTCTGCTCAGGGGGACAGGAGGACTCGCTTGCACGAGGAGAGGATGGACGGGACATCATGCTCTGGGCTGTTGTCTCTGCTCAGGGGACAGGAGGACTCGCTGCATCGAGGAGAGGATGGACGGGGACATCATGATCTGGGCTGTGTCTCTGCTCAGGGGACAGGAGGGACTCGCTGCATCGAGGAGAGGATGGACGGGGGGACATCATGATCTGGGCTGTGGTCTCTGCTCAGGGGACAGGAGGACTCGCTGCATCGAGGAGAGGATGGACGGGACATCATGCTCTGGGCTGTGTCTCTGCTCAGGGGACAGGAGGACTCGCTGCATCGAGGAGAGGATGGACGGGGACATCATGATCTGGGCTGTGTCTCTGCTCAGGGGACAGGAGGACTCGCTGCATCGAGGAGAGGATGGACGGGACATCATGATCTGGGCTGTGTCTCTGCTCAGGGGACAGGAGGACTCGCTGCATCGAGGAGAGGATGGACGGGACATCATGCTCTGGGCTGTGTCTCTGCTCAGGGGACAGGAGGACTCGCTGCATCGAGGAGAGGATGGACGGGGACATCATGATCTGGGCTGTGTCTCTGCTCAGGGGACAGGAGGACTCGCTGCATCGAGGAGAGGATGGACGGGGACATCATGATCTGGGCTGTGTCTCTGCTCAGGGGACAGGAGGACTCGCTGCATCGAGGAGAGGATGGACGGGACATCATGATCTGGGCTGTGTCTCTGCTCAGGGGACAGGAGGACTCGCTGCATCGAGGAGAGGATGGAGGGGGACATGTCCCGTAACATCTTGGCCGATAGCCTCCTTCCCTCAGCCAGGACTCTGTGATGGGTCATGGAGGGGTCTTCCAGCCGGACAATGACCCTGAACATCCGGCCAAGGCAAGGAGGGGCTAAAGGAGAAGCACATTGAGGTGAGGGAGGGGCTAAAGGAGAAGCACATTGAGGTGAGGGAGGGGCTAAAGGAGAAGCACGTTGAGGTGAGGGAGGGGCTAAAGGAGAAGCACATTGAGGTGAGGGGAGGGCTAAAGGAGAAGCACGTTTGAGGTTAGGGAGGGGCTAAAGGAGAAAGCACATTGAGGTGAGGGAGGGGCTATCAAAGGAGAAGCACGTTGAGGTGAGGGAGGAGCTAAAGGAGAAGCACGTTGAGGTTAGGAGGGGCTAAAGGCGACGCACATTGAGGTGAGAGAGGGGCTAAAGGAGAGCACATTGAGGTGAGGGAGGGGCTAAAGGAGAAGCACGTTGAGGTTAGGGAGGGGCTAAAGGAGAAGCACGTTGAGGTGAGGGAGGGGCTAAAGGAGAAGCACATTGAGGTGAGGGAGGGGCTAAAGGAGAAGCACGTTGAGGTGAGGGAGGGGCTAAAGGAGAAGCACGTTGAGGTGAGGGAGGGGCTAAAGGAGAAGCACATTGAGGTGAGGGAGGGGCTAAAGGAGAAGCACATTGAGGTGAGGGAGGGGCTAAAGGAGAAGCACATTGAGGTGAGGGAGGGGCTAAAGGAGAAGCACATTGAGGGGAGGGGAGGGGCTAAAGGAGAAGCCGTTGAGGTTAGGGAGGGGCTAAAGGAGAAGCACGTTGAGGTGAGGGGGGGGGCTAAAGGAGAAGCACATTGAGGTGAGGGAGGGGCTAAAGGAGAAGCACATTGAGGTGAGGGAGGGGCTAAAGGAGAAGCACATTGAGGTGAGGGAGGGGCTAAAGGAGAAGCACGTTGAGGTGAGGGAGGGGCTAAAGGAGAAGCACATTGAGGTGAGGAGGGCTAAGGAGAAGAGAAGCACTACGTTGAGGTGAGGGATGGGGCTCTAAGGAGAAGCACATTGCAAGGTGAGGAGGGCGCTAAAGGAGAAGAAGCACATTGAGGTGAGGTGAGGGGCTAAAGGAGAAGCCACGTTGAGGTGATGGAGGCGGTAAAGGATGAAGCACCATTGAGGTGAGGGAGGGGCCTAAGGAGAAGACGCACGTTGAGGTTGAGGGAGCGGGCAAAGGAAGACGCACATTGAGGTGCACTGGGAAGGGGCCTTAAGGCAGAAGCACGTTGAGGTGAGGGATGGGCCTAGCTAGTCTCCAGCCCTGTAATCCCAGAGATAGGTCTTGTGAGGGAAGCCTCAAAACCTTCAGGCGTTTAGGGAGGGGTCTTCAGAGAGGAGTGGACAGAACCTGGAGACCAGCTTACAAGAAGAGTCTGACGTGTGATGTCCTCTGTGTGTCCTCTGTGTGTCTGCCTGGGTGCTCCTCCTGTGTGGTCCCGCTTGTGTGTCCTCTGTGTGTCCTCTGTGTGTCCCCTGTGTGTCCTCTGTGTGTCCTCTGTGTGTCCTCTGTGTGTCCCCTGTGTGTCCTCTGTGTGTCCCCTGTGTGTCCTCTGTGTGTCCTCTGTGTGTCCTCTGTGTGTCTTCTGTGTGTCCTGTGTGTCTTCTGTGTGTCCGCTGTGTGTCCTCTGTGTGTCCGCTGTGTGTCCTCTGTGTGTCCTCTGTGTGTCCTCTGTGTGTCCTCTGTGTGTCCTCTGTGTGTCTCTGTGTGTCCTCTGTGTGTCTCTGTGTGTCCTCTGTCTCTGTGTGTCCTCTGTGTGTCTGTGTGTCTTCTGTGTGTCCGCTGTGTGTCCTCGTGTGTCCGCTGTGTGTCCTCTGTGTGACCTCTGGTGTCCGTGTGTGACCTCTGTGTGTCTTCTGTGTGTCCTGTGTGTCCTCTGTGTGTCCGCTGTGTGTGTCCTCTGGTTCCTCTGTGTGTCCGCTGTGTGTCCTCTGTGTGTCCTCTGTGTGTCCGCTGTGTGTCCTTTGTGTGTGTCTTCTGTGTGTCCTCTGTGTGTCTTCTGTGTGTCCTCTGTGTGTCCTCTGTGTGTCTTCTGTGTGTCCTTTTTGTGTCCTCTGTGTGTCTTCTGTGTGTCCTTTGTGTGTCCAACAACAACAACAACAACAACAACAACAAAGAACTAACACACGTTCTGCAAGGCGATCACAGTTGATAAGAACTTATGTGGTTTGTTAGAAGTCATCATGGAACGTGCATCGGCAGCATAAATACATCCAAAAACTGCGGAAGAGGCTAAATAACCTTACAGACTTTTCCACATATGTAAATTAAAATGTAGTTACTTTTCTTCCATAACTAGAAGTGCATCAATGGAATTTTTGTGTTTCGTTTTTTTTAACAGCGCTTTCTTGGACGGCCATCGGACGTGCTTCAACAAACCGGCTCTAAGGTCTTTGTTAAGATAGTCCACATCGAGCTCCATCCTCTACAGTGACATCAAGTGCTTTTCTGAAAGACATGTGAAGGGTTTAGCGCTCAGACATCCTCACGCTACGGCACACGCCCACTAAGGAGGACCAACTCACTTTAACAAACCAATGGGGGCTCGTCCAACGGGTTATTTATTTATTTATAAAAAAAGTTTGTGTAGTGCTCATTGAGCAGCTGATTCATTGTTGTGGTCCAGCTGTGTGCTGGCTCTGCGCTGCTATTTGGGGGACACATCATGTCTTTTGGGTTTCAGGATGCTTTAGTGTTTGACATGGCATCAGGTTTTGTGTGCCAATCAGAAGGTAAGATATTGCTGTTTGTTACGCTTTTGTAAAAGAGATTTTCCCCGCTAGGCTTAAGTGGCGTTTCCCCTTGGGTTCCGTCTGTTTGTTTTTTTCATAGTGTTGTGGCGACGTGGTTGGTGTCAGCTGTTTTCGGACAGCTGTCTCGGGGGCACATCCGCGTGATTTCTTGGTGTTACCTGCGTGCAGGTCGCTCCATAAATCCGCCGGGTTCCAGTGCGTAATTACCCGCCGCAAGCCACATGAAGACTAGGTGAGATTAGGAAGATTTTGGTAAGGCAGTTAGGGGGGAATTCTCTGTTGGGTTTTGTCTTTTCGCCCAGGCGTGTTGACAGTTGAGTACTTTGCTTTCTGATTGGGTATAGGCAATATATTATGGCTTCTTTGTCAGCGTTTGTGGATGCGCCCTCAGTATCTTTCTTGGATGGTTGCCAGAAGGCGCAGTTGATCGAAATAGCAGAGCATTATGAAATTGCTGTTGTAGGGAGCAAGCGGAAACATGACATTAAAGCTGTCATCGTGTCATCTTTGTTTGAGCGGGGAGTGTTACAGAAGAGTGAGTCTGGTGTGGCAGGGGTCGGGCCAGTAGTGGTTCAGACAGCTGGTTTGACATTCGAACAGCAAAAGGAGCTTTTGGCCATGCAGTTTAATCAGGAGAGATTGCAGTTGGAGTTGAAGTTGGAGAAGTTGCAGTTGGAAATGAGGGGTCAGCAGCAGGAGGTAGAGAAGCGTTTAGAGGTGGAGAAGGTGCTGGAGGTGGAAAAGATGAAATGTGAGGTGGAACATGCTAGATTACGGCTGATGGGAGAGGGCAAGTTTTCTCCAGGGGAGGATGGTGGTGCTAGGTTAGCATCAGGCAGTGGCGATATAATTTCTTACTTGCGATTAGTGCCAAAGTTCAATGAGCGTGACCCGGACATTTTTTTCACTCTATTTGAACACATAGCAGAGGCAAGAAACTGGTCAGATTCGGACAGAGTGCTGTTACTTCAGTGTGTACTCACTGGGCGAGCACAGGAAGCCTATTCAGCTATTTGTGGCGAAAATACTTTGGACTATGATAGAGTAAAATCAGCGGTGTTGAAATCTTACGAACTGGTTCCTGAAGCGTATCGTCAAAGGTTCAGAAGTGGGGTCAAGGGAGATAAGCAGACACATGTGGAGTTTATCCGTGATTTAACTTCTCATTTTCAGCGGTGGTGCGCGGCAGCAAAGGTTGCAAGTTTTGACGGTCTTTGTGAGCTCATTGTCTTGGAACAATTTAAAGACATTCTCCCTCAGCGTGTGGCCACGTATGTGAATGAACAGAAACCTCCCACCGCGTTTAGAGCTGCTGAATTAGCGGACGATTTTGTGTTGACACATAAGGGCAGTTTTGCGGAGAAATATTCTAGGGGTGATTGGAAACGTGGAGAAGACAATGGAGATGCCCGTGCAAAGTTTTCACCAGGCTCGCTCTGTTTTCCTGCAGGCACCCGGCTCTGATGAGTATAACCAATGTGTTGAATTGACCAGTGTTGTGCAAATAAACACCTTTACCTACCCGTTGACATGTTGTGTCTCCTTTTTGTTGTGGCCTTTTGAGCCAGGTCGCAACAAATAAATATTTGTTTTAAAACCTAAACAGTTCAACATTTAGCCCCCCTGCTCCTCTCCCAGTAACTGGTCATCTGTGGGATGCTGGTGGTGGTCGCAGCGATCACTCTGGAGAGGCTGCAGTCGCTCAGAGGATGCCTGGGGTCCACCATGAACATGGTGTTTTCAGGAGCGTTGGTGGGAGAAAGGCCATGGTGTTTCAGGCACATTCCCAGGTAGGCGTCCTCGATGAAGATGGGTTTAATGTGAGGGGCGGCTGCCAGGATCTTGGCAGGCAGGTCCAGGGACATGACGTAGGCCATGCCCAGAGGATACGGCAGGTACTCCGGCTCAGCAATCACATATCTCGGCATGTAGAACTTGTTGAACGGGTTTCTCAAGACCGGGCTGTGCCACCACACCAAACCTGTCATGTAGTTCTGTTTGGCCGTGCTGGGATCCAGTAACAGTTTAACCAAATTCTGGACGTGCAGCAACATATCGGCGTCAATCTTCATAACGTAGGAAAGCTTGTGGCAGCGCGCAACCAGCCACTCCAGTGTCATCATCGTCTTGATGGTCAGATTGTGGTAGCCGTCCTTGAAGTTACTCTGGATCAGGTCCTGGTGCTGCAGGTTTTCCTGTTGGAGCTTCTCCTGCTGCTGCTTGCCATCAGCTCCTGAAGGTAGGCCCAGTATGAAGAGAGTCTCGACCCGCTGACCCAGAACCAGTTTCTCACTTCCCCACGTCCTCCGGATGGTGTCCCGAGCTGCCACGCCCCCGGGGGCCACCGGGACCACCAGGAGCAGGAACGGAGTCGTGGCTTTACACGTCGGGGTGTCGTCCATGATGAATTTGTAGTTTCCTGGGTAGGCCACGTAATACGGCCCAGGATCCTTCCATGCTGGTGCTGCCAGTGATGCTGGTGTGTCCCTGCTCTCAAAGCCCCAGTCCGGGTCCAGATAGAGGAGGAGTATTATCACTGCTCCCACCATGCAGATGAAGACGTGTGCAAAGTGTCTGCTGCTGCTCTCCATCAAAACTACAAAGAGAAGAGACTCACATGATGAGGGATAGCAGCACGTTCCTCTGTTCAGACAGCCACACAGAACACATCATGCTTTCACTCATTTTAGTTCAATATATATATATGGGAGGCGTGTGGCGCAGTGGCTAGAGCGTTGGTGTTGGGATCAAGGGAGCTCAGGTTCAAACCCCACTGCAGTCAGCATGTCGTTGTGTCCCTGAGACTCTTCACCCCAAAGTGCTCCTGTGGGGATTGCCCACAGTACTGAGTAAAAGACTAATGTCACAGCAGGATCTGGAGAAACGTGTCCATGCTTTTATCTTCAGTAGACTCGACTACTGCAATGGTGTCTTCACAGGTCTCACTAAAACATCTATTAGGAAGCTGCAGCTAATTCAGAACGCTGCTGCTCGAGTCCTCACTAACACTAAGAAAGTGGATCACTCCTGTTCTGAAGTCTTTACACTGGCTTCCTGTGTGTCAAAGAATAGATTTCAAAATACTGCTGCTGGTTTATAAAGCACTGAATGGTTTAGGCCCAAAATACATTTCTGACCTCCTGCTAAATGATGAACCATCCAGATCTCTCAGGTCTTCAGGGACTGGTCAGCTTTCTGTCCCCAGAGTCAGAACTAAACATGGAGAAGCAGCGTTCAGTTATTATGCTCCAAATATCTGGAACAAACTCCCAGAAACCTGCAGGTCCGCTGCAACTCTGACTACTTTTAAATCCAGCAAGAAGACTTTTCTTTTTGTCGCTGCTTTTAATTGAACTATTCATATCTTAGACTGCACTGTAACTTTTATCCATGTATTTTTTCTTTTAATGTTTTAAATTTAAACGTAATTAATTTCTCCATGACATTGATGAGAGGGACTGCTCGAAAGTAGGATATTTGGGATATCCATCGTAGCCAGGGTTTACGATCAGTTTTTGGGTGATTTGTACTGAGGAACAAGTATCACAGCACCGACGGGTGAAAAATAGTGTTTTGGTAACACGGGGTGTTCAGGTAACACTTAAAGACTTTGTTATGGAACGCAAAGCAGAGTAGGGGGCTACTACACCCTCCTGAGGGTCCGATTGTGGATGTCATGCGAGCATAACATGGTGAAAACAATCAGTCTAAATTAACAATCGGGACGGAAATGTTCGGATTTCTGAAGGGAGGTTCTGTGAATAAATTAAAAATCAAGAACCGAAATAATTGAACTATTCATATCTTAGACTGCACTGTAACTTCTATCTTTTAATGTTTATTTTATTAGCTTTTCTTTTTAATGACTGATTTTAAATGCCATTTTCTTAATGTCTTTCATTTTTTGTTTTTCTTTTAATGTTTCTTTTATTATCTTTTACTGTTTTTAAATGCCTTTGTCTGAATGTCTTTCATTTTTGTAAAGCACCTTGACTTGCCTGGTGCTGAAAGGTGCCAAATAAATAAACTTTCCTTGAGTATGTGAGTCGCTTTGGATAAAAGCGTCTAACAAGTGACATGTGATGAGATGAAGTCAGAATTTAAACGGCACTTCCAAATCCTATTTAGCACATCAAAAGATAACCCTTTAGCTCAGAGTAAAAACCTTTTCGTACAGTGAAGTTGAATCGAATGTTGCTCTTTCCATACAGCGTTCAATAATGCAAAGCTTCAAGAGTAAACTTGTAATATAAAGTGTGATTGTGTTAACAGGGAGATCTGTTGGAACAGTTCTACCCGTTCACCTGCAGGGTCTCTGGCTGTGATATGGAACATGATCCCTCCCAAAAACCAGTCAGCGTGACGGCTCCACGACCGGATTCATCGAGAGGAACGGCTCTGTCTCTTTCTTTGATTAGGGAGGACACTGATATAAGTTCAATACCAGAGGTGTAAAGTAACTGAGTACATGTACTCAAGTACTGCACTTAAGTACACTTTAGAGGTACTTTACTTGAGTATTTCCAATGTATTCTACTTCATAGTTCTACTCCACTACAGTTCAGAGGTACATGGTGTACTTCTACTCCACTACGGTACAGAGGTACATGGTGTACTTCTACTCCACTACAGTTCAGAGGTACATGGTGTACTTCTACTGCACTACAGTTCAGAGGTACATGGTGTACTTCTACTCCACTACGGTACAGAGGTACATGGTGTACTTCTACTCCACTACAGTTCAGAGGTCCATGGTGTACTTCTACTCCACTACGGTTCAGAGGTACATGGTGTACTTCTACTCCACTACAGTTCAGAGGTTCATGGTGTACTTCTACTCCACTACAGCTCAGAGGTACATGGTGTACTTCTACTCCTCTACAGTTCAGAGGTACATGGTGTACTTCTACTGCACTACAGTTCAGAGGTACATGGAGTACTTCTACTCCACTACAGTTCAGAGGTACATGGTGTACTTCTACTCCACTACAGTTCAGAGGTACATGGTGTACTTCTACTCCTCTACAGTTCAGAGGTATATGGTGTACTTCTACTCCTCTACAGTTCAGAGGTACATGGTGTACTTCTACTCCACTACAGTTCAGAGGTACATGGTGTACTTCTACTCCACTACAGTTCATAGGTACATGGAGTACTTCTACTCCACTACAGTTCAGAGGTACATGGTGTACTTCTACTCCCTACAGTTCAGAGGTACATGGTGTACTTCTACTCCACTACAGTTCAGAGGTACATGGTGTACTTCTACTCCACTACAGTTCAGAGGTACATGGTGTACTTCTACTCCACTACAGTTCAGAGGTACATGGTGTACTTCTACTCCACTACAGTTCAGAGGTACATGGTGTACTTCTACTCCTCTACAGTTCAGAGGTACATGTTGTACTTCTACTCCACTACAGTTCAGAGGTACATGGTGTACTTCTACTCCTCTACAGTTCAGAGGTACATGGTGTACTTCTACTCCACTACAGTTCAGAGGTACATGGTGTACTTCTACTCCTCTATGGTTCAGAGGTACATGGTGTACTTCTACTGCACTACAGTTCAGAGGTACATGGTGTACTTCTACTCCACTACAGTTCAGAGGTACATGGTGTACTTCTACTCCTCTATGTTCAGAGGTACATGGTGTCTTCTACGCACTACAGTTCAGAGGTAACATGTGTACTTCTAACTCCTCTACAGTTCAGAGGGTCAGGAGTAACTTCTTACTCCACTACAGTTCAGAGGTACATGGAGTACTTTTCTTCCACTACAGTTCAGAGGTACATGGCGTACTTTACTCCCACTACCAGTTCAGGAGGTACATGCGTGTACTTTTCCTCCACTACAGTTCAGAGGGTACATGGTGTACTTCTACTCCACTACAGTTCAGAGGTACATGGTGTACTTATACTCCACTACAGTTCAGAGGTAACATGGAGTACTTTGTCTTCCACTACAGTTCAGAGGTACATGGAGTTACTTCTACTCACACTACAGTTCAGAGGTACATGGAGTACTTCTACTCCACTACAGTTCAGAGGTACATGGTGTACCTTTTCCTCCACTACAGTTCAGAGGTACATGGTGTAACTTCTACTCCACTACAGTTCAGAGGTACATGGTGTACTTCTACTCCACTACAGTTCAGAGGTACATGGAGTACTTCTACTCCACTACAGTTCAGAGGTACATGTGTACTTCTACTCCACTACAGTTCAGAGGTACATGGTGTAATCTTCTACTCCTCTACAGTTCAGAGGTACATGGTGTACTTCTACTCCACTACAGTTCAGAGGTACATGGTGTACTTCTACTCCTCTACAGTTTTCAGAGGTACATGTGTACTTCTACTCCACTACAGTTCAGAGGTACATGGTGTACTTCTACTCCACTACAGTTCAGAGGTACATGGTGTACTTCTACTCCTCTACAGTTCAGAGGGTACATGGTTGTACTTCTACTCCACTACAGTTCAGAGCGTACATGGTGTACTTCTACTCCTCTACAGTTCAGAGGTTACATGGATGTACTTCTACTCCTCTACAGTTCAGAGGTACATGGTTGTACTTCTACTCCTCTACAGTTCAGAGGGTACATGGTGTACTTCTACTCCACTACAGTTCAGAGGAATATGGTGTACTTCTACTCCTCTACGGTTCAGAGGTACTTGGAGTACTTCTACTCCTCTACAGTTCAGAGGTACATGGTGTACTTCTACTCCTCTACAGTTCAGAGGTACATGGTGTACTTCTACTCCTCTACAGTTCAGAGGTACATGGTTGTACTTCTACTCCTCTACAGTTCAGAGGTACATGGTGTACTTCTACTCCACTACAGTTCAGAGGTACATGGTGTACTTCTACTCCTCTACAGTTCAGAGGTACATGGTTGTACTTCTACTCCTCTACAGTTCAGAGGTACATGGTGTACTTCTACTCCTCTACAGTTCAGAGGTACATGGTGTACTTCTACTCCCACTACAGTTCAGAGGTATATGGTGTACTTCTACTCCTCTACGGTTCAGAGGTACTTGGAGTACTTCTACTCCTCTACAGTTCAGAGGTACATGGTGTACTTCTACTCCTCTACAGTTCAGAGGTACATGGTTGTACTTCTACTCCACTACAGTTCAGAGGTACATGGTGTACTTCTACTCCTCTACAGTTCAGAGGTACATGGTGTACTTCTACTCCTCTACAGTTCAGAGGTACATGGTGTACTTCTACTCCACTACAGTTCAGAGGTATATGGTGTACTTCTACTCCTCTACGGTTCAGAGGTACTTGGAGTACTTCTACTCCACTACAGTTCAGAGGTACATGGAGTACTTTTCTTCCACTACAGTTCAGAGGTACATGGAGTACTTCTACTCCACTACAGTTCAGAGGTACATGGTGTACTTTTCCTCCACTACAGTTCAGAGGTACATGGTGTACTTCTACTCCACTACAGTTCAGAGGTACATGGTGTACTTATACTCCACTACAGTTCAGAGGTACATGGAGTACTTTTCTTCCACTACAGTTCAGAGGTACATGGAGTACTTCTACTCCACTACAGTTCAGAGGTACATGGAGTACTT